GTAGACAGTCCTGGGAGCTCAGTCAGTCTGTGTTGAACTCTGGGCCCCACCCCCTGCCCCGAAATTCGGCCCAGGCTGCCGGGATTGGGGTGGGAATGAGGGTCAGGAGGGAAAAGGGAAGGGTCAGTGCTCACCTTGTTGGAGGGAAAGCAGCATAAAAACCAGGGCAGAGCTCCAGACTGGATGATCCCTTAAACTTTTGGGAGCCACCCTGGGTGGAGGGACTTCAAATCCCTTGGAAGATCTTCCTCCAGGAGCCCCCTCGCACTCAGGGTTCGTTCCTGAATCCTCTTCCCTGTCACTCCTTAAAAGAAATCCATCAAAACTTGTATTAATCCTGGCAAACTGGGGATTGCAGCCTGGCCTTTCCAGGGTATTTACTTCCTTGTGGTGATGATGGAGCTGAGGAGGAGGAGGATCAGTCCCAAAGAGGGGTCTTTGTGATGCCAAAGAGCCACAAATTTCCTTGGAAATCTCCCCCTGGAGAGCTGGGGGAGTTCCCCTGGGGAAGAAAAGGCTCCAGGGAGACCTGAGAGCCCCTTGCAGGGCCTAAAGGGGCTCCAGGAGAGCTGGAGAGGGACTGGGGACAAGGGATGGAGGGACAGGACACAGGGAATGGCTCCCCAGTGCCAGAGGGAATTTTAAAATACAAATCTTGTTGTATTTACATAAATCTTGTTGTACTTTAAATACAATTTACACATGTCCAGCTGGGACATTTTGGGAAAGACCTAAAAAACATTAAAGACCATGGGCTTTGATGTCTTCTTCCTTTGGAATTGGTGGCACTGGACAACCCCTGCTCTGCAGGATGGGTTAAGTGTGGTGAGCCAAAAAATTAACAGCTGAGAACGTGGCTTTGGAAAGGGAGTTTGCAGCTATTTTGAGGCTATTTTAGGCTATTTTGAGGCCTAAATGGTTCCTATTACATAATATATTTCGTTTGGCATTGCTGGATGAAAGCAGGGAGAGGGAAAGCTGGAGCAGAAGGAACTTCACTCAGAAACCTTGTCCCCAAGTCCCAACCTTTTCTGTTCTGCTTTTAATCAGGAGTAGTTTGGACACCAACCACGATTTTGGAGAAGGAAAATTGTCCTCAAGGTTTCCAGAGCTCAGGAGGAGGACAGAACTCCCCTGTGAGGACCCAGCAGGGACAAAGGGCACTGGGGCAGATGGTCCTGGCCCAAACCCCTCCAGCTGTCCCCAAAGTGTCCCCAAAGGAACTGAGAACCACCTGGGGTGGGGGAGGGAGGAGAGAGCAGATAGGCTGGTGGGGTGAAACTTCTGCCCTGGGTTTGTGGGGTCTGCTGAGTTTTAATTTGGGAATTCCTTGCCTGAAAAAAACAGAGAGGGGGAAATGGGGAATCTGAGAAGCTGGGAAAGCCCAGCCCAGGGTCTGGGTGCAGGTGGGAAAGTCCTGCTCTTTGTGCTGTCCCTGCAGGACTTTCCACTGTGCTCTGGGGTGGGGTTTGTGCCTTTCTGACCCTCCTGAGATCCTGAAGCTCTCCTGGAGCATCTCCTCCCTTCACTGTCCCTGCTGCAAACTGGGATGGTCCCAGGCCAGGGCAGGGGGATGTTTCTCTAGACAGGGACTCACTGCTTTGGAACTGGGGGCTTAGTGGGGGTTTTAATGTCACTGATGGTGTCAGGGAGCCCCAGGAGAGGTGCCAAACGCAGCAGGACCTGCTCCCTGTGGGAGCAGAGGGGAGCAGCTCCTTCCTTGGGAGTGGCCTGGAAAGGGAGGAACAGGTTGGCATCGACAGCCCTTGCAGCGTCAGAACCTTGATGGGCCAACCAGTACCATCCCTCGGGGAAGTCAGGAAAGATTTGGGATTATTTGTGTATTATATATCCCCAGGATATTCCACCCAAAGCTTCACTTTCCCCTAAAACTCCTTTTGCCTCCAGATCCAATGACGTGGCTGTTCCCAACCAAGAGCCCGATCCCTCTGGGATGAGAAAAGACCTCCCAGGTCAATCAGTCCAACCCTTGAGCAAACCCCACCTTGTCCCCCAGCCCAGAGCACCGAGTGCCACATCCAATCCTTCCTTGGACAGCTCCCTGGGCATCCCCTTCCCAAGCCTGACCACCCTTTCCATACACAAATCCCTGCTGATGTCCCACCTGAGCCTCTCCTGGCACAGCTGATGTTCCCTCTGGCCCTGGGGATGCTCCAAGCTGGGGTTCATTAAACCAGGGGCTGGCCTGGGATGGCACCTGCCCCCAGAGCTTCTCCCTGCCCAGTTCCACAGCCTCTCAGACCCAGGAGAGGAGGCAGGAGACCCCCTGGGCTGTGTTTTTGTGGGTGAACCGAATCCCTGGAGCTGCAGGGAGGGCCCAGTCCGAGTTCCTGCAGCAGAACTGGCACCAGATGCTCTCCAGGCCCACGAGCCACAGTGAGGGCAGGGCAGAACCTTGGGGGTGTTCTGTGCAATTCCAAGGCCAGTGGAAACCTGGAAAGCCAGGGAAGAGAGACTGTGACGTCAAGCCAAGGCCTGGAGTCAATATTTAGCCTGGGAGCTGCTCCCCTGCCCTCCCAGCTCTTCCACCAGCAGCTCTCACAGCCAGATCAGGTTTCCCCCCTCCCAGAGACACTTCTATCAGTCTCAGGGCAAGGGAAAAGCCGGGATTTGGGGAGGCAGGGGGGGTTAGAGTTTCAAGGGATTAGGAAAGAATTTGCCTGTGGGAATCCCTTTCCTCCATCTGCCTGGGATGAACTGTGGGATGGAGGGGGAGGCTTTGCAGCTCGGCAGGGAACTGCTCCCAGCTAAACATGTGGAGGCAAACCCACCCCTGGTCCCTCCCTGCTGTGGGAAAAGGCTGTGGAAAGGTCCTGGAAAGGGTGAGGAGAGCTCTGCACCCTGTGGGTCTTGCCTGGGAGGAGCAGCTCACCCAGGGGAGGCAGGGAGGAACCCAGGAGCACCATGGGGAGCGGGATTAGCTGGGAGAAAAAGGGCTTTTCGTTTGGCCTGTCAATGATTTTCGGCTGTCACTGTGTCCCTGCAGAGCAAACAGGCTTTAACCACCTTACTGGAGTGGGAATTCAGCTGGGAAAGCTGTCCTGGTTGTCTGAGCACTGCTGGTCCCAGAGGATTTCTCCTCCTCCTCCTCTCTCCATCTTCCCTGTGTCTGTCAGGTCTCTGAACCACCTCTGCATCCCTAAATCCATCCATCCCCTGCATCCCTCCATCCATCCCTCCATCCCTCCATCCATCCCTCCATCCATCCCTCCATCCATCCATCCATCCATCCATCCAT